CAGGAGACTCGCTTGAGCCCAGGAGTTGGAGGTTACTGTGAACTGTGATGCCATAGCACTCTACCCAGGGGGACAGCTTGAGGCCCTGTCTCAAAAAAAAAGAGGGCCTAAGGAGAGCACCTAGAAGCTTGAGTGATCAAAGGAAGCCTATTTCTTTCCTCCCAAATGGCTTCTGCTGTTCGGTGCCACCAATACACATAAGTATGAAACACGAATACAGGTTATAGCAGTGGCTTTTAAACATTTTGACCATAGCCCACAGCAAGGGACACAGAAATACCTTTTATATCACCACCATATTATATACATAGTTCGAAAAGCAAAAATTTTGCAAAACAACACATGCCCTTAAGCTGTGTGCAGTGCACCAGTATTCTCTATTCCATTCTTTTTTTTTTTTCTTTTCAGGTTAATATGAGGGTGTATACAATTAGATTACATTGAGTTTGTATGGGAAAGTACAAGTTGTAGTTTAGTCCTTCACCCTGGAAGTAACCCATTACATCAACTTCAAAACCCTTTAATAGGTTGCTAACCAGGTATGAAAAACACCTTACAGGCTGGAGTCCCTAAAACCAGTATTCCTTGAGTTTCTTATATTTTAGATGTATGAGAAATGTGTATCTATGCCTACCACCACTGGTAAACAAGATAACTCTAGAAGAAACTTGGATATATTTATACTTTTTAACTTGTCATTTATTACTTATTAGTTTTTACAGTTATCTTCCATTTTAGCAAAGTGATACTGATTTCCTATTTATGGAGATGACTTAAAGTTTTCTTCTAAAATAAATGTTTTTTTTTTTCGGCTCAGTGCCTGTGGTTAAAGTAGCTAAGGTGCCAGCCACATATACCTAAGGTGGCAGGTTCGAACCCAGCCTAGGCCTGCCAAACAACAATAATGGCTGCAACCAAAAAATAGCTGGGCATTGTGGCGGGCGCCTGTGGTCCCAGCTACTTGGGAGGCTGAGGCAGGAGACTCGCTTGAGCCCAGGAGTTGGAGGTTGCTGTGAGCAGTGAAGCCATGGCACTCTACCCAGGGGACAGCTTGAGGCTCTGTCTCAAAAAAAAAGAAAAGTTTTTTTTTTATTTTTTTGCAGTTTTTGGCAGCGGCTGGGTTTGAACCTACCACCTCTGGCATATGGGGCCGGCACCCTACTCCTTTGAGCCACAGGCGCCACCCTAAAGTAAATGTATTTAAATTTAAAAAGCAAGTTAAAGAAAGGCAATAATTACATAGGAAATATTCAGACTTGTCAAAAATCACAAATATTTCTCATCTACCCACAGTATGAGAAACTATCTGTAGTATTCCATAATGAAATAACAAGAAACTGACTTTCAGCTTGCACCTATGGCTCAGAGGCCAGGGCACCAGCCACATACACTGACCAGGGCTGGCAGGTTTGAACTCCGCCTGGGGCCTGCCAAAACAACAATGACAACTACCAAAAAAAAAAAAAAAAAATGCCGGGCATTATGGCAGACGCCTATAGTCCCAGCTACTTGGGAGGCTGAGGCAAGAGAATTGCTTAAGCCCAAGAGTTTGAGGTTGCTGTGAGCTATGACGACATGGCATTCTACTGAGGGTGACAAAGTCAGACTGTCTCAGAAAGAAAAGAAAGAAACTGACTTTCCTTAACATGAGATCTGCTTTTGCAGTTTTGCTCATTACTCCCAGGAAGTTTGGGTTACATGACATTGCGTGTATTAGATGTGTAGCTTTTTCCCAGCAGCACTTTAAAACTAAGACTCTGCTTTTTCCAAATACTTCTTGAGCAGTTTGGAGATTAGCTTCCTTTTGAAAAGTGATTTGTATGGGTCTTGAGATAGTGAGAGCTTACCATCTCTTCTTGAGAGTATCACTGGTCTGTCTTTCTCTGTCAGACTTTCAAGTTAATTATTTCCTGTTTTTCTGAGTATGTTCCTTATCCCTTTCCCAGGCCACCCTCTACCCTCACCTTCACACACACTCTTGCCCCTCACCCTCCACCAGCAGTTCCACAGCAAATTTGTCTTTGTCTCTTGGCCTACCCTTGAACATTTTCCAATAAGAGCCTTGGAATTAATTACATGGCATAGTAATCTCAAAGCAAAAATTTATTACTGTAAAATCACAAGTTACTTTTAGAGTTCTCTACTTTTAGGAACACTCCTTGTAACTCACTGACCTTTTGTTCTCTTAGTCACTGTGTGATAAGGTACAGTATGAGCCAATCTGCCCAAGCTGTTTTCTCCTTGTGTGACTGCTTGGGATCTCTGGCATGAATTACTGCCACTCCTCTAAGAACTCCCACTTCGAGCTTGACTTTCCCAGCAAATTTAATCTGTTGTTCTCATGTGACAGTTTCTACTGCTATCCCATTCCTTCCCTTCAAGGCCAGAGCCTACTCTCCCACTGCCCAGTCTTTTGTAACAACTCAAGGTGCTAAATTGAGATGAGTTGTACTTGGTAGAAGCTTTATGCAAGAAGCTACTCCATTCCTGTGGTCTTCTCATCTCCATGTCCAGAAATGTTCCCAACCTAGCCTTTCATGGTCATCCAGCCTTAATTTTTCCAATTTGTTTTTACAATCTCGGTTGAGCTTTTGTCTTTAAGTCTCTAGCCTTGTTCATTGTCATCTTCCTGAGTTCCACTCCAGTTTTTCTCCCTCCCCCTTGTCTTTTCATGTGTATACACCTAAGCTTGTTGACATTTTTACCTAGCATTCAGTTTCCTGGCCCTTTATTTCTGGCCCACTATTGATACAATCTTGGCCCTTTATTTCTGGCCAGGATTAAAGTATAAAAAGCCCTAGCAGGGCATGGTGGCTCATGCCTATAATCCCAGCTCTTGGGGTGCTGAGGCAGGTGGATTGTCTGAGCTCAAGACCCGCCTGAGTAAGAGTGAGACCCTGTCTCTAAAAAATAGCCAGGTGTTGTAGTGGGTGCCTGTAGTTCTAGCTACTTGGGAGGCTGAAGCAAGAGAATCGCTTAAACGCCCAAGAGTTTGAGACTGCTGTAAGCTGTGATGCCATGGCACTCTACTGAGGGTGACCAAGTGAGACTCTGTCTAAAAAAAAAAAGTATAAACAGCCCTTACAATAACTGTGTATTTGTGCGGTTTATACAAACACATTTAAAGTCGGAGAAGAATGGTGTAAATAATGAATAGATTATCTAATGCTAGTTGAAGGCAGGAGAGAAAAAGCTATTCCTGTTAGTGTGAACATATTTCATGTTCTAGTCCAAATCTGTACCATTTTCAAACACTGCTTAAACAAAGAAGAGCCTTGATGCTTACTGAGGATTTAGAGAAGTACTTGCCTGTTAAGAAGAGATTTTTAAAATTGTTTTCATTATGATTCTATCTCCATTTATTGATCAAGGGATTTCTTGCCTCACTTAACTCCATAATCCGTTACTCAGATTAAGAAAATATGGAAACTATTGTTTGGTAGCATGAATACAGACTTGGAGGCTAGATAATTCAAATACTATAATCCAAGAAAAACAACTAATTGATCACGCCGAATGTGTTTTTATGCATTAGTCTTTAAGTACCAAGCATGCAATGAAACAAATCAGATTAAATGTTTTAGATGTGCTGTTATACAAGTAGGAACTTCCTAGTGTAGAAATAGCACCAAGTCAAGGGTTAGGAAACTATCCATGTAAAAAGCTTGTAATAAACAAATGTATAAGTCATTATTCATCAACACATTTTGGGCACCTGTTGTATTCTTTTTTTTGCAAGAAACAATGCTAGGTATGGTAAGTTCTCAGCTAGTAGGAGGAGAAAAGTGCTCTTTATGTTGGTATTTCCTTTCTTGCACCACTAGTATACAGCTGTGCATACATGCTTTTTAGATGAGAGACCTGTATGTTCACTGTTTACCTTATACCCTCTACTTTGCCAGTTGTTAACCATTAATTCTTCCTCCTGAGGGCTACCTGGGAAGGAAAAGATGAACTTCAGGTCAGTTAGGCATGCTTCACAACCAAAACAGTTCAATTTCTGTACAATAAACTTGAAAGACCTATCCAAATTCATTTAAGATTCTGTTCCATCCAATTGATTGAACAGCCCTGTCAATTAAAACTTGGACATCTTGAGATTGACATGTTGGTTGTTAATAGTTATAGCAGTATTTAGCCTGTTTCTGGCAGATTTTGTAAGAAGTTAAAAATTCTCAAGAACTTGTCTGGAGAACAAAAGAAACTGCAATTTACTCAGGACCTATTACATGAGAGAATCTGAACTGAACATTTACATTGCTTTTTCTTTTATGGTTTACAATTACCCAGAAAGGGATGTAATGCCCATTTTAGACATGTGGAAATAGAGGTGCAGAGATACTCTGACCAGTCTCTCAGCTTATAAGGAAAATCCTAGCTAACAGCCTCCAAAGCACAAGCCCTTTACCAAGGAAGATTGGAGACTGCGCGCTGCTTTTAACTAATCTATGTAGTCCACATTTAAAACGGAAAATTGAAAGCTGACCCGGTATTCTTTTGAAAAATCTCCAAGGAAGCCGGCTGCAGAGACTTCGGGGATAACTCATAAGAAACAAAATGCTTTTGTGGAATAAAAACTGTCTTTATTTCAATTTTTTTCTTTAATTAAAAAAAAAATCTACCATTAACACGTAAGACTTCTCACAGAATTCTCAAGTCTTCGGACTGGGCTGCACAGACTATCAAAGAAATGGTGACAGCATTATAGCACTTTGGCCTAAGATGTTAAAGAGACGATGTAACGAACACCTAGGGATTTCTGAAGCACAATTGTGTGACAGAGAAGCCCAAGAGTTGGTCGCTCTCACTGAGGGCAGCTACTGGACTCGGATTTGCTAGAGCAAATCTCACCCATCGCCTTCAACCAGGCGGGTGTCACCAGCTGCTGCAGAACCCACAGCAGCCGGCGAGTTCCCACCCCCGAGCGCCAAGGCCGAAGCGCCCCCGAGGCGGAGAAGCTCGCCCCTGGCGCATGTGACGGGACTGGGGGAGGCAGTTTTCTTCCTCCCCTCCCCCCTGCTCCAAAACCCGCCTTCTCCAGAGAGGCACTAGCTTTCTATTGTGCCACCAATTGAATGACCTCCGTGCTAGCCAATCAGGATGTAATTCCTCATGTAAGGCCCGCCCCCTGCTGGTCCTCGAGTTCCTTCCCGCTCACACCGAAGTCACTTCCGAAGAGAGAACCGCCATGAAGAGAGAAGGGGGTGCCGCCCACCTCTGTTCCAACAGTCTCCCCGAGTCCCAGCAACAAGACGGCAACCACGCAACCAACTTCTCCAGCCACAGCTCATGCCGCCGTCGCCAGCGGCGCCGACATGACAAGGCGCTGCATGCCTGCTAGGCCAGGTTTCCCCTCATCCCCAGCCCCGGGGTCGTCGCCCCCGCGCTGCCATCTGAGACCCGGTAGTGCGGCCCCTGCTGCAGCGGGAAAGAGAACAGAGAGTCCTGGGGACAGGTACCGTGCAGAGGGCTTGAGAAGGGGCTGGGTCGCGGGGGCAAGGGTAGGAGGGGAGGACTGCAGACGGCCGCTCTTCCAGTTCCCGCCATCCTCCGCGAGCTCGGACTGTGGCGTTCCGGGGCCCGGCAAGCTCTCGCCCCGCCTCGCCTCCGCGCAGGGGCTTCTGGGAGTTGGAGTTTCCTTTTCTGTAGTTGGGCTGCTGCTCGATGGCTACGGAGAACTCGCCTTAGGTAGAGCGTAATTTTTGTCCTTCACGAGATCTTGACCCGGGGTCCTGATTGCTTAATGAATGTCTAGGTCGTTTTTTGTGCGTTCTCAGTTCTACCGATTTTAGTGGGTTAGTAGTATAAACCTTTTCTAGGTTGTGGGTGAAATTATGTAAGATGTGATGAGGGAAACCCATGAATTACTTTGTAGCCCAATTGACACGCTAATTCATGCTTAAAAGAACATACAGATTTGGAATGTGATGTTTTCTCTTTCAGTAACTTTACACCTCTCCAAGAGGCCAGTTTCTTGGTAAAGGTTTTTGTGGGAGCTATGTAATGGGATGGGGAGTTTCATCAAATAATATCCTCTTGACAATAAAGCATGTTTAAATTCTCTATGAACTTGGTACTGTCTTTTTAATTTAAGTTTAAAAGGTAACAAGTTTAATAGTAAATTCGTGGTGTAATATCGTGGTGTAGGTCCATGATCCCTTACCTTAATTCTAAAAGCAAGAAAGCTACGAAAACCAAATGTTTATATTAGGTTGGGCACCACATCTTACTTGGTAGCCAAACCTGACCACAACTAATGTCAGGCTGTTTATGGCCTTTATCCCATTAAATGTGACTTCATATTTGCTAGAGAAATATCAGTGGTTTTATTGGAGGTTGCAGTACCAGACCCTACTAGAGGTTTTACATAATGCATCCAAATTGTCCCTTTCTAAAATCTGATAAATTCAGAATTCTAAAACATTTGGCCCCCAAAAGTTCAGATAAGGATTTGTGAAGCTATTAAAATTGTTTCTTTTTTTAACCAGTTACAAACACGCATTTCTATGCATATGAAGTTAGGGGACTGTTTCCTCTTGGAAGTTACATTCAAGGCTATTTCACAGGCTTCTTGTATGTTTTACCCCAAACATTTTTCTCTTTCTGACATAGAAGTGTCTATAAGGTTCATGTGCAGTTTAACATAGTGTGCAATTTTAAATTGCACACAAACTTTATGGACACCCTGTACAAATCCAAAAGCCTGGGATCTTTTGGGGAAGAGATACAGTGTTACATTTCATGTTTAGTAATTAGCATAAAATGTATTTAGTATTATCTTGTAAATAAATTTGCTGCTTCAGTGTTCTTTCTTATCTCTCCTGCACCAGTAACAAGGCATCATCCTTCTCCCCTTTGCAGAGCCGGTAGCATTTCTTCCTTGACTCTCTGGTGGATTTGATGTGCCTAATATTTTTTTCTGTAAAAAAAATTTGCATATATTCTTCTATAGCCTGTCACTCATATTCATCCCATAACCACTTAGCTTTTGTACTAGCATCCCAAACACACATAGTAGACTCTCAGTAAACCCTAAAGATGTGCATTGCTTTTCTTTTTCTTTCTTTGAGACACAGTCTCGTTATGTCACCCTCAGTAGAGTGCTGTGGCATCACAGCTCACAGCAACCTCAAACTCTTGGGCATAAGCAATTCTCTTGCATCAGCTTCCCAAGTAGCTGGGACTAGGCACTGCACAACGCCTGGCTGTTTTTGTTGTTGTTGTCATTGTTGTTTAGCAGGCAAGTGTATGTGGGTATGTGGCCAGTGCCCTACCCACTGAGCTATAGGCACTGCCCTGCATTGCTTTTCTATTATGACCAGTAAAGTATACAGGAAGCTTAACCTTCAAGGGGCTTGGATGTTCAAGTTTTCACTGATCATTCCAACCTCATAGTAAATAAATGTTCAGGGAAACCAGTAGTCTACAGCTCATTGCCTGTTAGTGAAATGAATTCATTTTAGCAAAATTTGCCAGAAAGTTAATTTTTGCTCTGCTTACAATGACAGTCCCTTTTGCAGCTGACAACTCTTAACTATTTGAACAAATCAGAATACCAATTCTGATTTGTGGTAATGTGGTCCTATATCATTTTGGCATTATTGCCACTGTCGAAACTTGATTAGTTAAACCAGATAGTGAAATCCAGCCTTTAGGATACAAAATCCTTAAAAATTAAAGCAATTTGGTTTTTGTTATTCCTAACTTTCTTCTTCTGCTCCTTGTTTTGTATTTTTCCCAGGCATTGTGTTATTTTTATAAACATTTTAGGGATTCTTAGATAAAAAATTAAGGATTTGAAATTAATTTAGTTGTAAAGGTTCATTCTGATTTTGACTGTTACTTAGATTGACATTTTACTATAGTGTATATATAAAGAGGGTAATAGAAATTTAGTACTTGATCCTCTGCTTTTGTCTAGCATACTCCTTACCTGCCTCTACATATCACCCATGTTGGCGGTGCTGCCTGTAGCTCCGTAAGTAGGGCCACATACACCAAAGGTGGTGGGTTCAAGCCCAGCAAGGCCAGCTAAAACAACAAAAAACTAGCCGGGCGTGGTGGGCGCCTGTAGTCCCAGCTACTTGGGAGGCTCATCAGGCAAGAGAATCACTTGAGCCCGTGAGTTTGAGGTTGCTGTGAGCTATGACACCATGGCATTTTACCGAGGGTGACAGCTTGAGACTGTCTCAAAAAAAAAAAAACCCCACCCATGTTGCCATTCTATAATCTTTTATTCTATTCTTATTATGTTGAGAGTTTACTCCATTTTTATAATCTCCATTGTTCAGCATACATATTGGGTGTTACTTTGTACCAATCCCTGGAGAGATCAACAAGTAGGGTCATATGCCCATCTCCAAGTTCTTCCATTCTACCATGCAGCAGTGAATGTTGCAGTCCTAAGTACTCTGTTCCAATTCCCTGGGTCTGCACTACAGTCTTACAATTTTAGTACTATGGATTATGTAAGACTTGGTTGTATTTTTATAAATAAATTCCCATAGGAAGGGATGGATTATATTACACTTTTTTTATGAATGGCTTAACAAAGCATGATTACCATTGTCAGTACTTGCTTAGTTAAACCAATAGTGAAATACAGCCTATATTTTATAAATCTTAACAGTCTCCATTTAATCTGAATTATTGAGGTTTTAGTATTTGCTATGTGATACCATATTAGTTATGCTTTTATTTTCAGGAAGCCGTCAATTATAGATTTCTTCAAACGAGCTTCAAAACAAGGTATGTATATTGTTAATGGCATTTTTTTGTGGGATATTGTGGGGGTGAGGACGGAGAAGGATTTAACCTACTTTAAAATCTTATTTGAATAAGTATAGTGTTCAAATGGAAAATATAATGATACTGCAGTGTTTGTTTACAAAGATAAACATAAGGTCTGAATATAATGAAGAAAGTATTTTTGCTATTATGCTTTCCTACATTTAAAATATTATTCCAATCAATAATGTTCATAATGCATACTATTTTGATTCTCCAATATAGTAACAAGAGCCATAAGGAAGGAACATGGTGTAGCAAAAGGGAGCTTTATGAAAGTAAGGCTTTTAACAAGTCATGTTTTAATTTCTCTTACACCCCTCCAAATGTGTATTATCCAAATGTTATTGGTTCAAAAATTTTTGTGATAGCTTTAGTATAGTTTAGCATTTTAAACATGAGTAATTGAGATAAATATTATTTAGAAAAATTCAAGACATGTTAGAAAATGTATAAGTTTTATTTTTATTAACATGCAATTTGTATATGTTTTAATTGGCTATTTAGACAGACATATGTTGGATTCTCCACAAAAATCAAACATCAAATATGGAGGAAGTGGATTGTCCATCACTGGGACAGATCAATTTGAGAGGAAACTGTCCTCACCAAAAAAATCTAAACCCAAAAGAGTACCATCAGAAAAAGGCCCTATTTTAGAAGTTCTCATGAAAGGTGTTAAAGAGCACCATAAAGATCGTGGTGTACATGAGTCACGTCATCCTTGTGTGTCACTAACCTCCAAGTATTTATCCAAAGGAACAAATATCTGTGTTCCTCCTTCATATCACTTGTCAAAGGAGATGAAGAAACTAAAGAAAAAACATCAGTCTCCAGAGAGAAGGAAGTCACTGTTTATTCATGAAAATAGCAGGGAAAAGAACGATAGAGAGCGAGGCAAGACCAACACAGACTCCAAAAAGCAGGCTACTGTGCCAGAAGCTGACATCTTCAAAAACAACTCCAGGAGTCTTAGCAGCAGAAGCAGCCTATCCAGGCATCAGCCAGGAGAAAGCCCCGTGGGACCTAAGTTCCAGTTGATACTAGCTAATTACTGCAGAGAACGAGAACTAAAGAAGTTGAGAAAGGAGCAAATGGAGCAGAGAATCAACTCAGAAAATTCTTTTTCAGAAGCAAGCAATCTTTCTTTAAAATCCTCTAGTACAGGAAGAAAATGTAAACCAGGGCAAGAACAAAGTAAACAGAATGATGTCATACCTGGAAAGAGTAGTCTTTCAAACCTGGTATGTGCAATAATTACTGAATTAGCTCCGTTACTAATATATCATTTTTCCAATACTGAATCTCAAAGTATTTAATAATTGTTAAATCACATTGGTATCTTTCCTTAAGGCAATACTGATATACAGTTTATATGTAAGTTATTTTCATTAGGTTGCCTTAAGCTGGCTTTCATTGAATTCAGTAAAGCAGTGTTTTTCTATTTCTTTTCTCTCTCTCTCTTTTTTTTTTTTTTTTTTGAGACAGAATTTTACTCCATTGCCATGGGTAGAGTGCTGTGACATCATCATAGCTAACAGCAACTTCAAACTCTTGGGCTCAAGTGTAATCCCCTTGCCTCAGCCTCCTGAGTAGCTGGGACTACAGGTGTCCACCACAATGCCCAACTGTTTTTTTCTATTTTTAGTAGAGATAGGGTCTCACTCTTGCTCAGGCTGGTCTCAAATTCCTGTGCTCAAGTGATCTACCTGCCTCAGCCTCCCAGAGTGCTAGGATTATAGGCAAGAGCCACCTTGCCTGGCCAGAGATCTTTTTTAATTAGAAAAGTAATTGTCCTTTTTTTTTTTTTAAGGCAAGTATAGTGATTTTTAAATTAGGTTCTGCTAATGGGAAATACTTGAGGAATGGAAAAATAAAAGAACAGGATTGCATAGCATTTACATTGTATTTTACAGTTTTTGGCTGGGGCTGGGTTTGAACCCACTACCTCCAGCATATGGGGCCAGCACCTTACTCCTTTGAGCCACAGGTGCCGCCCTAAGTTTACATTGTATTTTTTTTTTTTAAGTGCAAGAAATGGTTTAGAGCAATGGTTCTCAAAATGTGGTCCCTGGACCATCAGCAGTAATATCACCTGGGAATTGTTAGAAATGCAAACTCTCAGGTCCTGTCCCAGACCCGCTGAACAAGCATCTGTGGAGGTAGAGTCTAGCAATCTGCAATTAACAAACCATACAGATGATTGTGATGCACTTTAGCATTTGAGAACCACTAGTTTAGATTATATGTAAATCTTAATTAATTCAGTAAGAGTCT